GTTCCCAGTGCCCTTCATAATTCCAATGGAATCAGATCACCTCTAAGTTTGTGTCTTTTTAATTTTAAGACCAAGAATAAAGTCTGTCCTAATATTCCAATCCACCTAAACCAGGAACCTTTCTTGTTCTTCTATAGTCAGAATATGCTTCATGAGGCTAGATGCAAAGCAATAAAACTGTACACAATTACTGTGATTGAGGATGCACCAGAATTTAATGGAACCTATTAGGTCTTAGGTTGAAAAGAAATCATTCCGAGGTCATATCTCCTGGGATTTGGAAATGCTCCACAGAAGTTGTCTAATCCACAATAAGGTCTCTCTCCTTTGTTGCGCTTCCTGCAACAGGCCTACTATTTAGAATTGAATGGAGGCATGTAACACAAAAGGGGATGGCAGGTACTGGACTAGTAATCTAAAGACTTGGACTAATCTGCTCAAATCCTACTGCAGCAGCAGGGGAAAAAAACGCTGAAATTTGACTAATTAATTCATTTGGAATTAAATGGTGGCACCACTAATAATAATTACATGGTAATAAAACCCATCCGGTTCATGATGGAGATTCAAGTGGTTTCTTACCTGGTCCGATCATTTGGTTCCAGATCCACAGCAATGAAGTTGATTCTTAACTACCCTCAAATATCCTTGCAAACCACTCATTTCAAGGGAAATTAGAAATGACTAACATGAATAATTCTCATATCTACAAAATAAGTTTAAAAAATGTTCCTATGCCTACATTGCCACTATTATGGTTCACTACAACTTGCTCTTTAAAAACTATTATTTTACCAAATGATCCCACTTATACAACATCTTTCTTTAAAACTAATTATTGGGTATGGGAATCTTGGTAAGGCTATTTATTCTTTGACACTGGCTATCTCAAGAAAAGCAATGTAAATAAGGACGGACAATTAAGAGTCAATCATATTAGTGTTGAACTAGAAACAATTATCTCTTTGCAGGACGTGTTGTGTTCTGCAAAGTTTAACTGGAATTTCCTACATCAGTGACTGCAAGCTGCAAAGCACTTTCAAACATCCTGTGGTCATAAAACATAAATAAAGATCAGATCATTTTTTAGTGATTTTGGACAAGAGATAAAATTGGCTAGGGTATCAGGGAGAATTCCACTGTTTTCTTCCAGGTGTTCTAGATGCGTCATAGCCACCTGATGGTGTAGACAGGTATTAATATTTCACCTGAAAGAAAGTATGCCTGACACTGCAGCAAAGTACTGCTGATGCTGGAAAACTGATACTGGGGATGGAAGGACTGTCCCATAATGGGAGGTAGGCTCAACTGGGCCTGTATTCAAAAAGTTTAGAAGGATGATGGGGGGCTTCTAATTGAAGCATATAAAATTCTACTAGGACTGGACATAATAGTTGCAGAGAGGATGTTTTCATTGGTTCGGGAGTCCAGAACCAGGGTACAGAGTCTCAGAGGGGGTAGACCATTTATGACTCAGATTAGGAAAAGTTTCTTCATTCAAAGGGTAATGAACCTGTGGAATTCCCTACCACAGAAGGCTATGGATGGCAAGTCACTGAATATATTCAAGAAAGAGATAGATTTTAAAGCCAAGGGATAACGGGAAGAAAGTGGAAATATGGCATTAAGATAGAGGTTCAGCCACAATCAGATTGAATGGCAGAATAGGCTAGAAGGGCCAAATGACCTACTCCTGCTCCGAGTTTCTACAATGTCAGCTTTGCTGGCAAGGCCAGTATTTGCTGCTCATCCCTAATTACGCTTAAAGTAAATGGCTTGCTGAACCATTTCAGACAGCATTATGAATCAAAAATATTGCTGTGAGCCTGGAGTCACACATAGGCCAGACCATGCAAGGATAACAGATTTCCTTCCCTAAAAGGCATTGGTGAACCAGATGCAGTTTTACGACAATGGTTATGTGATCACGATTAAACTAGCTTTGAATTCCAGATTTCAAACTTTATTACCTACCATTGAGTTCAAATTTCACTATCTGTCATGGCAGGATTTGAAACCATGTCCTTAGAACATTAACCTGAGGTTCTGGGTTTCCAGTCCGGTGACATTACCACTTTGCCACCACTTCCCCTGTCTCAATTCCTTTAACAATTCCCTCCCCTCTCCATCCCCTCATTTATTCTAACTTATCTCACTGAACTTACAGCACTCCATTCTCTCAGGTCCAGCAGTAATATTCTCAAGACCTGCTGACAAGGATAGTGCTGTTATTTGGCAAACCAACCTCCACAATGCAGAGGTCAACTCCAACATTTCCTTCTAAATGAACTATAATACCACCCCCCACAAAATATCAATCTATTACTTCCAAGATTATCACTTGTCTCCTGTGGAGATCTTTCCTACACGGCCTCCAATCCCATAAGCCCTCAACCCAAATTCTACAAACAGGGCATTGATGGGCAACCCATTGTTTCAGCCTATTACTGTCCTCTCCCTATGTCCATTCTCTTCCTACCTACATTGGAGTGTTCTGATGAATGGTCAGCAGCCTAAAACATTTTACTCTTCTTTATCTCAATGGGTGCTACAAGAACATTTCCAGCCTTCACTGACTGTAGTCTTAGTCAATATTCCTGGAGTATGTACTAGATTATGTACTCAAGTTTATGAAATATGACTTAATGCAACAGCCTTCCAATTCAGAACATGAGTATTATTAAACTATACTTCACACTGAAATGTAAGGGTTGAGAGAAAGTCTGGCACCCCACTAGGTACATCGAGCTGAAAGGGCATTAAAATGACCCATCCATTTCTCCAGAATTTGACTGGAGAAAGGAGGGAAAACTAATTATTTCAGATCTGTTCCAAATGCCCGCTCCTTTACTGAAATTATGTCTTAATGCAACCATAACTGTGAGACTATAATCCTTACATTAGCTGTGTTCCCATTCTTGGCATTCCACAAACAACTAGTGCTGCATCATTAAACAAAAACACAGAAGAATAAGTTTCTCATTTCAGCATGGTCATCTTTTTTAATGAGCAATGTAAAACAAACATGCTGCAGTCTTACAAATCTAGATGCCTAGTCTTAACGACTAGAAGTACAATCCTGCAATGTCCCATCAACAGTCTCGTAAAGACAGGATAAAGAACTCAACTGAAATCATTTAGGGAATGTGTTCAGTCATCTTTTCTCAGTTTCAGGTAATAATTTATACATTTACTGTAACTAAACTTTAAGTTGTGACATGTCTAACCATCTTCAGCACAGGTACTCTGCTGATTTAAAAAAAAACACATTTGGATTCAATTTATAACACAGAAACACATTATTCCATGACTTGTTTACACCTGATCATACAACTGAAAAACATTATCAACTGTTTTCATTCATTCTTCAATTCACATGACTAGTAGTACTGCCTGAGGAAGAGTTTTGGAACAGTGAAGAATTTTTCAAAATCATTTCAAAGATAAGTAGTAACTAGGAATAAGCTATTGTATTTGAACAAAAAAATGGCCAGTCTGATCCATCACTGACTACACCAGCAATAGGTACGACCTCTTGCAAAGTTAAAATATTTCAGCAGCCAACTTGTAGGAACCTGAATATGACAGCTTCTGTTTTGTACCTGTACATCTTTATAAATGAGGTAGCCTTGAATGCTACAATCAAAACAGAACAGAGGCAAATTTTGATAAGGCCCATTCAATCCATCAAATCATTGTAGCATGATGTAAATTCTATCTTAAACATTACCCTCTGATTGCCATTTAAGAAGCATTAAATCTCCTTCAAAACTGTAAGCAATTTCATATGATAGCATCTCAACTGTTTAAAGACAATTGACTGTGAGTGTTATATCTTCATTTGACAGTCTATTCCACATATTTACATTCATGCGGCAGTTGTGGGACTGGGTGGAGAATGAAGGGGAAATATCTCTGCCAAATTTTTAATCTCTGAAACTACATTGTTCAGTAGAGAAAGTACTGAAAGGTTAACAGGCCTAGCTATCTACCAATATCTGCCTATTAATGTTCTAGTCACCATCTGACATGTAAATTATTAAGTTTGTTTGTTTGTTTTTTCACCTGGACAACAATTTCCTGGTGTCATTCTCCAATTAAAAATTACAAATCATGATTCATGATTCGTGTATCCTCCCTAATTGATCGAACTCTAAAGCTAAATTAAACTGAGCCTAAATCTGTCCCGTTAATAAACAGAAGAACTAGAAACACCACAGTTAGAATCAGCATTTTAAACTTTCAGTATATTCCAAAGTCCATAACGTCTGTTACATCACATTACATAAATTCACAAAATTGGTTAATATGATTGCTGTACTTTCGAATGTAGATAGTTATAGGCTTAGTGTAATGTATTAATTTCATGAATTTTTATTAACCTAACTTCAGACAATGAATTGGTTGATAATGAACAAAATTGCAAATTCTTCCTCATTGTCTGGTTTCACAAATCATTGAGGAAACTAGTTGATATTTAAAGGATAAATAAGAAAAATTAAATCTTGAACATTCATGTTTACGATCTTCAAAGCATGGCAACCGTTTGAAATGTATTTTGATTAAATACCAGATGGCAGGATGTTTTAAATTAGCTTTTATAGATTGATCTTCGGCAAAAATCCTTTCATTCTGGGCCAAGCATGTTAAACCTTGTTGAGATTCAGCCGGCAGAGGAAGGGGGAATAATAGGAGCCAAGGTACAGGTAACCATCATGCTCAGCTGCCTCACTAACTGCTGGCACCACCACTCCATGGGGATCATGGAAGCTCCTCCTGATGGATCCATCCTCATTTAGCTCCAATACAAGGCCATACTTGGGCACAAACTTCACGGTCATCTCCTGACTGAACAGCTAAAAGGGGTACAAATCACAAGGTCAAACACAGTAAGGACTGTCAAGCATTTACAAGAGAAAAAGTGGAAGATAACGGTCACTCCTTTCAACCTGGAAGAGCGAACTGTGAATACATTAACATGGGACACAACAACAAAAGAAGAAATATAGAACCAATTTATTTAGAGTTCAAGCATTTAATTCATCCTTGTTAAATATCTCATGAACAAGGATATGAATTAATTCAACATATTTTAGGATAGATATATCTGCCTTGGAAGGAGTGCAGGTCAGACTCATCAAAATTGTGTTGTGCATATAATGTTTAAATATGGCTGTATTCACTTGCGTTTGGAATATTAAGCGCTAATGAATCATCAAAACAAAATAAAACACGTGTAATTATTTCATTTCTAACCCTAAAATTCCCCTACAATAGAGTAACTCCTCCAATGACTCCTTAGGCATGGCTTCCCAAAGTGGAGACAGGAACTCCAAGTAGGGTTGCAAGCTCTGAGGCAGCAGAAGCCACCTTGGAGCTCTGACCGAGTTATGACAGTTATGATCCTTCACCAACAAGGCCACTCTCACAGCTTTCCCCAGCCCCACAACCTACCCTTCTCACAATACTCACAAATGCTGTGACAACATTCAAGCCTTGAAATGCCTGAATGGGGAAAAAGCTTTGGAAGCACTGTCCTGAGGATCAGCAGATAGCTAACTGTAAGCAGTCCAAGCTCTGTAACTGCATCAAGTGAATATATTGTAGGCAAATTTGCAGAAAAGCAAAAATAGGTGGAAAGGCCGGTTGTGAGGGAGATACAAACAATTTGCAGAGAGATATTGATACAATCCCTACAGTGTGGAAGCATGCCATTCTACCCATCAGATCCGTACCAACCCTCTGAACAGCATCCCACCCAGACCCAGAAAGTGGACATGAGGAATGTTGAATTAGCTTTGATCCCACTGAACAATGGAGCAACCTTGAGGACTGAACAGACTACTCCTGTTCCTGTTTCTTTATCATTTCATGGGAGACAGTTCAGAGAAGGTTCACTAGGATCATCCCCTGTATGGAAGGACTGTTTTATGAGTGAAGGCTAAATAGGTTGGGACTTTACTCTCTGGAGTTTAGAAGAATGAGACCATCTTCACAGGCTCAAGCTTGTAATTCAAGCTGAAATTCTCACAGCAGTACTGATAAGGTGCTGCACTGAGGGGGGGCGTGCTGCTTTTCAGGTAAAGCATTAAACTGAGACCCCATCTCAGGTAAATGTAATACAATTCAAAGAACAATTCAAAGAACAGGGAGATATTGGTCAATATTTAGCCCCCAAACAAGGTCACTAAGATAGACTACCTGGTCATTACCAGCTTATAATGTGTGGGACATTTATTCACATTGAATACTACTACATCAGAAAAAACGAAGTGCTTAATCGGCTGAAAATCTCTTTGGAACATTGTGGCATTATATAACTACAAGTTTGCTTTCTTTCTTTTATTTATAACTTTGCACTATATCAGAATGTACATTTATTCACTGAATGATTCGGGATGTAAATGTACTGCCCCATACAGCTCACCTCAGCCATAACACTGCTAAATTGCAGTACCACTCCCTCTAGAAACAACATCTCCTCCCTTCACCCAAAGGATTAAATTCTGAGTTGGCCAGTTTGCTTTCCTAATACTTGTTCAGGAATACTTACTGGATAGTGCAGCAAGTTGCAAAGGACACTGATATAATAAGTCAGTGGACAAAACAGTAGTATAACAGGAGTATAACTGGGAAATTGTGAGGTCATCCACTTTGGAAACAAGGAAGATAGATTACTTCTGAAATGGCAAGAAGCTGGCAATCGTGGTCGTACAAAGATTTATGGGCCTCTGTACAGAAGTCATTAACAGCTGACAAACTGGGGGAAAATATGATGAAGGTAATCAACGTTGACCTTTGTTTCAATGGGTTTAGCATACAAAGGGATTGGCACTAAGTTACATTTATACAAAGCTCTGATATGATCCTATTCAGCTTTCAGTTCTGGGCAACGTATTTTAGGATGGATATATCTGCTTTGGAAGGAGTATAGCTCAGACGTGTCGAAATGATGCTGTGGCTATAATGTTTAAATTATTCTACATAGACAACGTTTCTTCTTGCAATCGGAATATTGAAGGGTGCGTTCAGAATTTCCACAGAAATGTTCTGACATTTAAAATACTTATGGATGTTGTATTCCTGTAAGGAAACAAAGACAAGTTAGGAACCAAAATTGAAAAACTGCTCAGTTGAAAGGTTCCATAACATTGCACAAATTTCACAAAAACAGCTAAACTAGGAAATAACATTTGGATTTCCTGTTCCTTTCTCATATTATAGAGTTTTTGGTCCAATGCTGGCTTGCAATGCAGAAAAGTTACAATGAAACATTTCCTACCTTGCAAATCAAATTCTTAAGCCAAGGCCTTGGAGCAAGGAAATCCATCACAGAAAAGCCAGGATTTGGGCGTAGTACTGCCATGCCAACCCAATAGCCTCCTGAACTACTTGGTCTTATATTGTCGGGAGACCCAGGAAGATTGTCGAAGAATATATCATGTCCTCCTTTTCTTAATCCAGAGATGTGGTATCTAGCAAGGACACAGAATTTGAGTGATAAATCATTATGTCTGCATCCAATTTACATTACTTTTCACTTCGTGCTTGTCCATGCTCAACTGGTGCTAATATCACCTGAGAAAAATACCTAAATAACTGTGGATTCTAGAAATCAAAAACAAAAACAGAAATTGCTGGAAAAACTCAGCAGGTCTTGCAGCATCTATGTAGAGAAAGCAGTATTAATGTTTCAGGTCCAGTGACCTTTCTTCAGCATGTTCTCAGGAGAACGAACTGTTGGTGTCAAATACCAAAAAAACCTCAAAAATTCTCAAGTTGATGTTAAGACATCATTAGAGAAGAGTTAAAATAGTTCTCCATATGGTTTTGTGCTGTACTTGACCTAGAAATACTTTGAAGTCGATGCAAATTTGTTTTCAACAAGTAAGTTAATGATGCATTGAGATTGAACTTACAGCACAGAGACAGGCCAATGCATGTACTGAAATGTGCGTATGTTTCAAAGTACTGACACATCTTAGGTATCCAAATTAAAGCATAATGGAATTAAACTAACACACTGAATGGTTCCTATAAATTATAAGAATAACATGGAAACACATCAAACCAATTAATGTCTAATTATTCCTGTGGTTAAGATGACTGGCAGTCTTGTCAGAGAGCAGCAAACTGCAGCACTTAGTGCTTGCCCCAGTTTAGGGTGTCACCTTGTATCTGGTACATGTCAATTATAAGCAATTAAAAGCTTTTCATCTCATTATACCTGAAGTAATTGGCAGGAAATTACTGATATTACAGATTTTGTATGCTGAACAGCAATATCAGTTTTTAAACAAAAAAATCAATTTCCTTCGCAAGGAAAAGAATAGGACATCACACAGCATTGTGCTCTGTTACAAGAATGACAGACAACAGAAAATGTGCATACTGCACTCTACTGGAAAGAGTCAATACTTGTTTTAAGCAGTAGCTGTACATGATAAGTTCCACTTAATGAACAAACAAATAGTCAATGTATCTTTGTCACAGGTTGTAGTGCAGAGATTAGCTATGGAATGTATGTTAATTAGAAATGGAAAATATAATCAATTTTGGCAATGTGATGTGTCACAAAGCTATTAAGCCCATCTACTTAAACACTTTACAGGGTAAACCTTTAACGTTGCTTCCTTTTCTTTCTTCCCCTGCTCTCAATATCCTGTTAATTCCAAATATTGTATTTTGGCAGGAAGATTAGATCTGTACTTTTTAAATCTACAATGAGGTAAATGTTGGCATAGATAACAAATACTCAATCTTATATATGGTTTGGATAGCCTGAAAGTGGTGAGAGGGTAACTTTCCGAAGCATTTTGCTCCACGTCAGCCTGAGAACTTTCTCCAGAGACTTTTACTTTACCTAGGAGATTACGTAGCCATACCGGGGTTGAAGAAGTTGGAAACGTGAAATCATCAGGCTTCAGCCAACCTACAGTAGGGTGGGCTTGATGAGCTGGCTGTTCTTTACTTCCTTACCAGTTTCAAATTTAACAAAACAGCACTGCCGGTGTCCCTAATTTCTAAGACTGCAGCAATTTAAGAGGTTAGCTCTCCACCAGCTTCTCCATGGCAGTTAGGAGTAGGCAAGAAGAAAACAACAACAAAAACAGAAGTTGCTGGAAAAGCTCAGCAGGTCTGGCAGCATCTGTGAAGAAAAAAAATCAGAGTTAACGTTTCAGATCCAGTGACCCTTTTCTCAGTGGGCAAGAAGTACTGGCTTAGCCAGTGATGGCCACCTCACATGAAGGAATAAAACAAAACCAAGGACTAGGAACTAAATTAAAGGACAAGACCTCAAGAGTTATGATCACTGGATCATTAATGAAATCATTGCAAATCGGTCTGTGGATAAACAGATAAGGGACATGAACACATGGCCGAAAGTATGAAGTGGAGAAAGGATGTCCATTTAGTCAGATACTGTTACCTGCACTGGGACAGAACTGAACTGTACAGTTGAAATGAGTTCAACTTGAACCATGCCAACCTGATGACAAGAACAAATAAGGCTGCAGTGGATGCTCTAGACTTGCAAATGGGTGAAGTGTTCATGGAGTAAAGTTAGTATAAATGATCATTCAAAACGTAACAAAAGGGAAAAGAGTGGAGTAACAGTCGGAAATTGTGGTTTAGGTATTTTGAGCAAAATGCAATCAAAAGATATTAAACAATTAATCAAGCAGAGAGAAGTAAGAAAGATGTCAGTAAAACATTAGAGCAAAAGGACAGGTTAATGTTTGTCTTAAAAGTGCTCTTTGTACAAGTGCATAAGGAACAAATTGAATTTCAGGTGAAAATTCAGTTTTGAGGGTCTAATATGGTAGCCATTACTGATTCATGGCTGAAACAGTCAGGTTGGGGGAAATTTATAAAAAGAGGTTGAGTAACCTCTACCATTAAGAAAGATAACAAAGGACAGGAGAGGCAACCAGTAAGGGAAGATTTGATGGGTAGAATCAATGAATACAAAAGTATACAAATACTCACTTGGTAGTAAAGCACTCCACTGTTGCTGAGAAAGAGTACATTTGTCAAAGCTTTTTATATCACATTCGTCATGACAATTCAAAAGAAATATGAAGAATGGATAATGACGACAGTCAGTTAACTGCTAAACTGCTTCGCAATCATTAACTGATATATTCTCCATAGAAACCTCTCTTCGAATTAGAGTCTACTTGTCAACCAATCAGAACTCTCCTCGTGCAGTAAAAATGTCCTAAATTACTTTATTATTTTCTGCTAGTTGCCATGATGGTGCAAGACTAAAAAGCTTCAGCTATCTTTCGTAACAGCAATATTGAACACAGTAATATTTAAGACTGTATCAGCAGTTGCGTATGGGTTCTTGAAGCAACTATTAAGTGGTAACTTGCTTACATTAAATGAGTTTGCTCTTGTGGCACAGTGTTAGTTTCCCTATCGCTAAGCCAGGAGACCTGGGTTCAAATCCCACCTGCTCCAGAGATGTGCAATAATGTTTCTGAACAGGTTGTTTAAAAAGTATTTGCAGCAATGGCTGCATGGTTTTAATAGGGAATTTTAACTTTATTATTAGTTAGTGATAAGCAGATTAGCATATGTCAGAAAAGTAGTGAATTTCTGGAATGCATTCACAATATTAGCCTGTAACAATATGGCCTAAAATGAACAAAAGGGTATGCCATATAGATTTAGTAAAAAGCCTAATGGTGCATAAATATTTATCGAATAGTGATTACAACATCAAGCTCAAGTGTGGAAGGGTAAAATGCTCAATAGCTAATACATTCTACATTTATGGAAGACTGAATTCAATGCAATGATAGAGGAACTGGATGCAGTGAAATGTAATCTGGTAACAGATAAAACAACGGAAAATCAGTGGGAGAGGTTCAAGAAAGAATTTAATGTGATTTAATGAATTTGTACTCTTAAGGCAGTTTACCTGACAAAATTATCAACAATGGGTTATCAACAATGAAGAGGCAAGAGTCAACATAAATCCAATAAATTAAAATTACAGATCCTGATTAATAGGAAAGATGCAGAGAATGACAAAGGGGGATAAAACAGTAAAAACGACGAAAAGGAATGCGCAAGGCACATCAGAATAAATAGCATTTTTTTTAAAAAAAATCATTTCAACTCAAATCCAAAAGTAATTGAAAACGTTTCAAGTTGGAAAGAATTAAAGCAAAATATTACAAAAAAAAATCCAATTCTGAAGTTCTTAAAATGCATCAAGTAAGGGTTAATGGAATTGCAGGAAGCTCATACACTTGTAATAATGTCAACTATTTTCATTGTGCAACAGTAATTTATGCAAGGTCACAGTTTGGTACAATCAGTACAAATTCTGGAAAGATCAACAATTCAACAAAATTAAACATAAAACAGAAATACACATTAAATATTTAAAATAGCATTGACTTGGTACGGGGGGGTGGGGTGGAGGGGGTGGAGAACAGATAGGTCCCATATTATCCAAAATTAGTGGTGATAAGATAGTTATGCCACAACTGCGTTCCTAATCAAAGAGGAGCCAGAACTGAATAAAATAGCACACATACTTATTCTGTACTACCAGAATATTAATGAAAAGAAACAGATAGGATAAAAGGAGGGAATGGCCTAGTGAGCATTATCACCGGACTATTAAATTCAGAGATGCAAGTAATGTTCTGTGATCCTGGGTTTGAATCCTGTCACAGTAGATGGTGAAATTTGAATACAATAATAAAAAAAAACCTGGAATTAAGAGTCTGATGTTGACCACGAAACCATTCTTGATTGTCAGTAAAACTGGTTTCCTAATGTCCTTTAGGGCAGGAAATCTGGCATCCTTACCTGGTCTGACCTACACATGACTCCAGACCCATAGCAATGTGGTTGATTCTTAACAGGCCCTTGGGGAATTAGGCAGTAAATGCTGGGCTAGCCAGTGGCACCCACATCCCGTGAATGAATAAAAGAAAGAGCCACAAAAACCCCTCAAAAACTCAACATTGATGTTATCAATAAAGAATAGTGGACATGTTGAATGATTTATTTGTATCAGTATGTACAGCAGAGAAGATTAGCTTGGTAGGCATACAAAGGAAACTAATATTGAAATCAGGAACAGCGATCAAAAGAAACATGCTAAATAACAGTAACAAAATACTGGCAATGAAGAGTGAAATAACCCAGGACCAAGTGATTTCTCACCATAGGGATTATAGAAAGTCAGTGAGAATAATGTCAATGCATTGGCTATAATCTTCCAAAATTCTATTCAAAAGCATTCCTTCAGAACATAAGAATAATGCACATCACACTGCTATTTAATAAACAGAGGAAAACCAACTAGGATAACATCTACTGTCAAATTATTACTGGAGTGAATAATTAAGAAGGGGTTACCGAAGATTGTGAAATCGTTCAGCTGACCAGCAGAAGCCAAAATGAGTTCGTAAACATTCCACAAGATTTATATTGAGGACTCAACTGTTCATTCTATGTTTCAACTTGAGGATGGGATAAAAAAAGTTATTTATTCAAAATTAGCCAATAACACAAAGGTAGGTCGCACTGCAAACTGTGCAGGTGGAAGAGTAAAATTACTGTAATGTGTGAGTTTCAATGTAGATCAAAGTTTTCAAAATATTAAGGGTAACAGATAAGAGAGACAGAGAGGAAATATTTCTACTGTTGGAGAGTCTAGGGCCAGGGCACAATGAAAACGTTGGAGGTGGAACTTTCAGGAAAAAGTTAAGAAACATTTATACATACAAAAAAGGTAAAATCTGCAGCTCTTCTACAAACAGCAGTTGATGCCAGATGGATTGTTAATTTTAATTTGAGTCAGTTTTGTTTTTGTTAGCCAGAGGTAATAATAAATATGGATGAGATTACAGATCAGCGATGATCTGTAGTGAAACAGGTTCAAGGAGCTAAATAGCCTGCTCCTATGTTCCACACAGATTACCATCCATTCAGTAGCCAATATTCTGGTTCCATAAATTTTATAGAACATTTTCTTTACTAGTTCAATAAACCAATCTTGGGACACATACAATAGATTAGGTATTGAAATTGGTTCTTTACAAGACAGAGCATGTTTTATTTAGAGGAATATATTTTATGTGATGCACAGAAATATGCAGAGAACATTTTAAGGGAATATGACAGATTTGCTTTTAATAGCACTATGTTGCAAATGTACCCTCAATCTAGTAATGGTCTTGTTCACACATATTATTTACATGCAGCATTTTATTCTCACCTTCTAATTCTAGCCATGGTCGTCTCAGAAACTAGTACATAGTCCTCAGCCGGAGAGAGCTGAACTCCGTTTGCAAACCTTAGGTCATCCATTAATACCTCCAATTGTTTTGTTACTGTGTCATATTCCATTAATCTGCAATAAGTATCCATTAGACATAGGAATTAACAAATAGGCAAGGACATTTCAAGAGATTAAAAATGGTGCTTCTGGACATTGTTGTTTTCCTCACATCAAAACCAAAAGATAAACGAGGGCGGAAAGATTTGCAAATGATGTCAACTAAAACGCAATAAATCACTGTTCATATCCATTAAATTCAATTTCACAGTTGGCAGGTGCAGCACCTCAAGTGCTCAGTTTATTTCAGGCAGAAACAGTAGTGCCTACTCATCAGATCATAATTCGATAAGGTGTGCTGAATGAAAGAGGAAGCTTTAGCAAAACATTTGGTTAATGTTTAGCAATCTTTTGACTTCACAAACCCTTTGTCAAGCCTTGAGGTTACTTTTGCACTAAACATGGAGTGCATAAGTAAAATTACTGGTCAGAGAGGGCCTGGAAATAATTGAGCAAAATGGCCAGTACACAGTCGGAACATATTTATTACATATAATATTGTAATAGTGGAGGCTGGTTAGTTCAGTTGGCTGGATGGTTTACGATAAAGAATGATTCAATTCCCGCGCTGGCTGGGCTGACCATGAAGGTGCCACCTTTCCAACCTTGTCCTTCACCTGAGGTGTGGTAACCCTCAGGTTAAACCACCACCTGTCATCTGATTCCAATGAGAGTGTAGCCCTGTGGTCCTGTAGGACTATGGCAAAGTTACCCTTAGTAATAGTGCTACCTTTTGTTGGAAGGTGACCATTTGTGACGGGCAAAATGTAGTCAAATACATCGCAATTCAGGACAATCATAATTCACTGTCCAAGTATCCTGGAAACTATATTTCTGTCGTTTACACCTTCCCCCTTTTATTGGTATGGGTTTTGAATCCTTGATAAATTTAAACAAAGAAAGAATATTTTGAAGTTAGCTAAATTAGATTCTGGATAGATTAATAAGATATTGATGGAATGGAAAATCAAGTCCAGGAAGCCTGTCAGGAAGAAGGCATGAGAAAACTCTTAGGACATAACTACAATCAAGATAATGGTAAAGGATGATTAGAAGGGCAATAGGTTTTAAAATGAGAATAGCCTGAGAAGGAGAGATGTCAGACTTTGTTCAATAGAGTGCTCCAGAGAGGAGTAATGGGTCCTCTGTTTAAGATCTAAACAAATTACATGGATTTAGAACAATGTTAACTGGCCAATATCACAGATAATAGCCAAGTGGGAGAAGGCAGCTATTGTATATATGGTGGACAGACGAACCAAACAAATTGTTATAGAAGGCCATTGACAGTACTAGCACGTGGAAAAGACTCAACAGAATTTCAATGCAGGTAAGTGAAAAGATTTATAAACTGGAAGATGCATGGGAACATTTTTAACATTGAAGTAGACGGTAGGAGAAACTCGAGTATGATCAAATTAGCTGATCAGCGAAGCATTTTGTATGGCACGGAATCATATTGACCAAGGCAGTTTCAAGTTCAATCACTGGTCTGGGTATTTCAACCAAATCTTATTATTCTAAAAAGAGACAGTGGGGAGAAATGAACTATCTTGGCTACTCAACAATCGCTAATAGAAAGGGCACGTGAGTGTAGGTCACATTTGGCTATGATGCCTCTTTAACAAATTAATTTAGAAGATTCGTGCAAGTAAATTCAGGCTGGATAGAGGACAGCCAACAGCTGCTGATATGGAACAGCATAAGTCAGTGTATCCAGAAGAAAGAACTAAGAGGAAAAGATGTTACATAAAAATAAAATTTGTCATCTGTTAATTACACAACCACAAACTAACAACAAAAACGATGATAGAAATCCAAAATACTCACCTCCCATCAGCAGTGCCCTCCATCACGAGGTATCGGTTATCTCTTCTCTGCCACTTGCTGCTGGAATCAGTGAAGTAGATCTTTCTGCCATCCTGTGTGATGCTGAGGTCATTCACAAAGGCCATTCTCCTGCCTTGAATAATCTTCTGAGCAGAGACCAGCATCTCCACTTCACCTGAAATTATTTATGACAGAAAAGGTAAGTGCTGTCCATGATTGGAACCATGAAGTATATATAAGGAGCCTGTTTTGTTAAAGATTTCAGACAAGAATTTATCCTCCAATGTCTGGGTGCTTAGACTGTAAACATCAAGAATTCAGCAGAGACTTTCAGCAACTGCTACAATGAACCAAGATTCCATGTTAACATTTGATAATACTGTAAAATTCGCAACAGTTCAAATTCCTGGAGATGCACCCAGAAATTTGTGTTAAATGCAGCTTCAAGATAGCAGAGGAGGGGCTTGCACAATCTGATTTTCCCAAAAGCACACATATCAAAACAAAATTCCAAATAAAAACACAGTAAAGCAAAGTTGGGAGTCAGCGCCAGAAAAACTTAGTGATTTTTTTTGCTTAGCATGCTGCCTCTGTGATTCAGTCCACCATATTGTCAATGTAGTCAAATATGTTTCCACTGTTCTCGTGCTACAGTGCAAAATCCTGAATCATCTCTACGGCTTCTGCACCTTCAGCTAGAAAAATGGGCAATTGACTGGGTGGTCATTCATGGAACTCTTCAGGGTCATCAGCCTCAGATACATTGATTAAAGAACGTACTGCATCGATCATTGCCTCTTCTATCAGTTCTGTTGTGCAGCATGTGTTGCGCTTGCCACACAGCGTGTTTAACTCATATATCCCACGTAAGGACTGTGAGTCAACTCTTACTAGTAATAGAAAATGATCTTTATTGATAATTAATATGATAATAATGATTATGCTGCAACTAACACTAAATCTGACAATTAACACAGCAAATCTAAGTCAGTATCTTGTACTTTAACTTAACTTGAAATGATCAAACATCATCCCCCACACTAGATCTTGGCCTTGATCCACATGGTGATGGTCGTCTGGTCTTCCTCTACCGATGGTCCCAGGAGCGCCTCTCCTTACATTGGTTGGTCTTGAGTCACTGCTCCCGAGGGTGCTGTTGCGGCGATTCTTATCCTTGGAAGCTAACGCACCCCTTTGGGAGGATCTTTGATTGCCACTAATGGATCGATCAGGAATTGATACCTTGATTGGGTCCAGTCAATCAGACAGTGTCATGCGGATGGTGGGGTGGTCTTTGGTTCTCCACTTCTGAAAGTGTCAGGGACACGTAAGACAGGGAGTCTTCCCAGATAAGAGTGGGAGGTGTCCCTTTGTCCTGGTAACAGCTTGATGTTTCCTTTTGTCCTGGTAAATAGGCTTAGTCAATCGTGCATTGTGCTGTCTGCAGCTGCAGCTGTAGCTTGCCTGTCTGGGTCTGCAGTATGTTTATTTCAGTGTCTTTTGTCTGGATATTTTAGCCAATGCTTGGCTCAATTTCCCAGCATGCTTTATTATCCAATTCTGCCATTTTGAGTGGCCCGTCTGGCTACACGTGTGGCGCTGTCCATTTTAGCATACGTTTTATTGATTTCTCTGGTAGAATTTCCATGGTGGCTACCTGCAAGTATAAGGAACCTCATAATTGGGTTGGTTGGCTTCACCCTACTCCTTTTCATTCTAAGCATCTTGTTCAGTAAAAGCCTATTTCAACCCAGCATAGCGGAAGCAATTGGTAATTGCGGCTTACATCACCATCTTCCTGCCTTCATGAACATTCCTTTAGAACAGCAGGATTGCATGACTGCATACCTACAGCCTGGATAAGCTGAAAGATCAACTGTTGTCAGTACTGGGTTTTCAGTTTCATCCCATGATCCATTGGCAAGAGCTTGGAGTTGGAAGGCACCACTAGATTTAACACTAGATGTTAATGATAATCCTTTTCTTCTGTTAACATATTTTGTCCACTTTCCTGATCCATTCCTCAAATTCCTGAAGGTAATTCAGGCAGTATTGTTGGAGCTACACTCATCCAGACAACTTAGGCATACTCTTGACTTGTTCCTTGTAGATGGTGGACACATTTTGCAAAGTCTGTAGATGGATTACTTGCTGCAGCAATCCCAATCTCTGATCTAGACTTGCAGTCACAGTATTTACACAACTAATCCAATTCAGTTTCTGTCAATGATAACCCCAAGGATGTTAATAGCAGGAGATTCAGTGATGAATTTACCATTAAATGTCAACGGGCAATCGTATTTAAGATAGTCCTTATCTGGCACTTGTGTGGCATGACTGCTACTTACTCATTGTCAGCCCAAGCCTGGATATTTTCCAAATCTTGTTGTGTTTAGAAATGGACTGCTTCAGTTGAGGTGATATAAATAGTGCTGAACTATGTGAAATCATCAGCTCACATCCCGATTTCTGACCTTATGATGGAGGAAACTTCATTGCTGAAGCAGCTGAATATGGTTGGGCCTAGGATCTTTCTGAGATGTGTTGGAGCTAAAATGACTGACATCCAACAACCACAACCATCTTCCACTGTGTAAAGCATGACTCCAAACAGCAGAGTTTTCTCTGTTTCCCACTGATTCCAGTTTCAAGAGGATTCCTCAATGCCAATGCAGAATCTGCAAATCTGTATTGGATTACAGTGCAAGTCGAGTCAAATCTGGATCCAAATATCAGGTGGTGGAAATGTATTTTTCTTTAATCCATTCCAAAGCCTCATCCCCAAATTCCTCTATCCCACACCTGACAAACAAGGTTAAACATTTTGACATGCACTAAACTATTTCATTGCTTATTTTGCTTATATCAAACTTATATCAACTTCAGTCTTGCCCACCAAAAACTGACTTCTTAATCGTTATCATCCTCACAACTGCAAACTGTTGTTTTCATTTGATCTGTAAGATTTCAATCCATTACAGTTGCTATAATCCCCTCTGATGGCAGAAATCCCAGAATAAAATCTGGTTTGATGGACCAGTTTTAAAATTTTAAGAAATATGGTAGCCATTCACTGACACAGCCACATATGGCTTCAGATTTTTTTTTAAACAACAGAATAGAAATTTATTACACAAAGGAAAGAAAAGTAAAACAAAGTAGGTTATCTAGATATTGAACACACTTAGAAAGATCTTAAAATACACAACAAAACAAAATCTCACATTCTGGCACTATCCGTTACAGAGACTCCAATCCAGAGAAATTAACCCCCTATTATCAGATCGTTAAATTTGAAGTAACTGATTCTTCCCAGGTCTTTCCTGAGACCTGTGAAGTCTTCTAACATGAATATTCACAAAACTGAGAGCTTTGATTTGATCACCTTTTAATAACCTGTAGATTTGGAGGTATCATAAATTAAACTTTTACACAGACATAACTTATTCCCTTAACAGTCCCACACTCCTTTCTAGATGAGAAATTACATTTGCTTCCGATTCCAGTCAGATCTAAACTGACCTAAAAACTTCCAATCTCTGAGCTTCCAAAGTTAATATCAATCTTTCATTATCCTAAACTTAAAACAAACTAATGGTTTTCAATGTTTACCCCACATGGCATAAACCAGTAGAGTAAATACAACCTTCCCTTAAACCTTAGGTCACCCCTATGTTCTGACACAAAACTAACCTATCTATGCGTCACTATTTTAAAACACAAACTTTGAAAATCATATCTACACACCACTCACCACACAATTTAGACTCTCATATCTGTGGAGCTCTTGCTAAAACTTCTAATTTCCTTTTCTGTTTCATGATATTTTGCCTGGGCCGTACAACAATTGTGCACCTGATTGTGTGCTGCTTAAATGGGGGACATGAATCAGATCCAGAAAGGCAGATTCATATCAGTTCTGATGAAAAATTACCAGACTCAAAAGTGTTAACTCTGTTTTCTCCCCATAAATGCTGCCAGAGCGGTCGAGTTTCTCAAGAAATTTCTGTTCATTAGTAGATTCACAACTTGCCAAATTCTGTGGTCAGCAGGACCTCTACTCCATTTCAGGTAGCATAGACTCAGAGTAATGCAGCATGGAAACAGGCCCTTCAGACCAAACTGGTCCATGCTGACCATAGTGCCCATTCAGCTAGTTTCAATTGCTTGCATTTGGTCTACGTCCCTTTAAACCCTTCTCATCCATGAACCTATCCAAATGTTTTTTTAAATGTTGCTAATGTACCTGTCTCAACCATTTTCTCCGGCAGCCAATTCCATACACACACCACTCTGTGAAGAAGCTGCCCCTCAGGTCCTTCTTAAATCTCTCCCCTCTCACCTTAAACCTATGCTCTCTAGTTTTCAATTCCCCATCCCTGGAAGAAGACTATATGCATTCATCTTGTCTATGCGCCTAATGATTTTATACACCTCAGCAAGGTCATCCCTCATTCTCCTATGTTCCAAGGAATAAAGTTTTATCCTGGCCAACCTCCCCCTATAACTCAGGCCTACTAGTCCTGGCAACATCCTTGTAAATCTTCTTTGCACATTTTCCTGTTTAACTATGTCTTTCCTATAACAGAGTGACCAAAACTGTACACAATACTCCAAGTGCGGTCTCATCAATGACTTACAGAACTGTAACGTAACATCCCAACTCCTATACTCAATGCCTCGACCGATGAAGGCCAAAATGCTAAATGCCTTCTTCACCCCCTTGTCCACCTGTGATGCTGCTTGCAATGAACTATATACTTATAGGCCTAGGTCGCTCTGTTCCACAACATTCCTCAAGACCTTATCATTTACTGTATAAGTCCTACCTTTCCAAAATTCAACACCTCACACTTATCTGTATTGAACTGCATTTGCCAGTCTTCAGCCCACTTCCCCATCTGATCAAGATCCCTCAGTAATTTGATAACCTTCTTCGCTATCAACGATACCTCCTAATTTTGTATCATCCACAAACTTACTAATCACGCCTTGTACATTCACATCCAGATCATTTATGTAAATAACAAATAACAGAAGTCTGAGCACCGACCCCTGTGGCACACCACTAGTCACAGGCCTCCAGTCCGAGAAATAATCTTCAACCATCACCCTCTGCTTCCTAACATTGATCCAATTTTGCAGTTCAATTAGCTAGCTTTCCCTAGATCCCAT